CCAATCAACTTTGCTGCATTTGACTGAATCTGGGCAGAGAGTATATCTCTATACACTTCAGAATTCATCTAGGCTGCTTCTGTCCTCGGTCGTCATCACTAAACACCAGTAACCCAGTGCCACTGGAAGCCATGCACGCTCATGCATCACACTGCTCCATGTTTCACAGATGATGTATGCTTTGGATCATGAGCTGCTCCTAGCCTCCTCCATACGTTTTTCTTCCCGTAATTCTGGTACAGATTGATCTTAATTTCAGCCATCCAAAGAATGCTTTTCCAGAAGTGGTCTGGCTTTTTTAGATGTTTTTTGGCAAAGTCTAATCAGGCCTTGTTTGCACCTGGTGGTGAACCCTCTGTATTAGCTCTGGTGAAGTCTTCTCTTGATTGTAGACTTTGACAGTGACCCGTCTGCCTCCTGGAGATTGTTCTTCTCTTGTTGTTCTTCTCTCTGGATGTTGTGAAAGGGTTTTTCTTTACCATGGAGAGGATCCTCCGATCATCCACCACTGTTGTCCTCTGTGGACGTCCAGGCATTTTTATGTTGCTGAGCTCACCAGTGCGTTCTTTGTTTCTCAGAATGTACCAAACTGTTGATTTGGCCTCTTCTAATGTTCCTGCTATCTCTCTGATGGATTTTTTTTGTTTTTGAAGTCTAATAATTGTCTGTTTCATTTGTATGGAGAGCTCCTTTGACCGCATGATGTGGGTTCACAGCAAAAGCTTCCAAATGCAAACAGCACACTTAGAATCAACTCCAGACCTTTTACCTGCTTAATTGATGTAGAAATAATGAATGAATAGCCCACATCTGTCCACGAAATGGATTTTTTTGTCCAATTACTTATTGTCCCTTGAAAAAGGGGGGAGGTACCTATTAAAGAGCTGTAATTCCTTAACCTTCCCTCCAACTGTGATGAGAATACCCTCAAATTAAAGCTCAGAGTGTGCACTTTAAGCCCATATTCATTATATAACTGCAACTTGAATATGTTTTGGTCAGCAGTAAAAATTGTGCCTGTGTCCAAATATATATGGACCTGACTGTATGTATATATAGTTTTAACAGTAATTTATGCATAATTACATGCATCTATAACCCTAAACCAAACCCTAATCCTAACCCTAACCCTAATGTTAATTAATATTACTCAGTACTTAAATATATAACTACAATCCTTTATGAAAATTAACCATGGTTTTACTACAAATAAAACCAAAAAAACATGGTTACTATAGTTAAACTATGATAACCACAAATTAACCATGGTTTTGCTTAACCATAGTTTAACCATGGTATTTGTAATAAAACTGTGGTTATAGCCTACAAATGGTAAATGCCAAGAAACTATGGTAACTACACTTACTATAATAAAACCATGGTTAATTGTATGTATTACTTCCATTTTAAAAGTATGCTAAAGTGTACTTAGCTACAAGGCTAAAGCCATGGACATGCAACTTTTAAACTCTTGTCATGACCAGGTAAAGCCGGGATGCCTGGTAACTTTCACATGATGCATGTGAAGATACCAAAAAGCTACAGTATGTTATGTAACAATCTGCAAAATACTGTTTACATGGAGCATCAGTTAATCCGGATAGAAAAGTAGTCCCTCCCCAAAAGGACGATTTAAACCTCTTGACGGCTCAAATAACAC